GAGTGGAGCCCTGCTTCTAGCAGACCTCCCTCACCTGGATAAATGCCCCTGGTCTGCAGAGCTTACACCCACCAGCCAACAGAAGTTGCTTGTTGTCTCCCAGAAGCACCCACCTAAGCCAATTAGCTTTACCCCAAGTACAGCAGTGCCTTATGTCAGTTCAGTCTTGGGAGCCTATTCATTTCCCCACCCTGACTCATCCCACACTAGGCTAACCCCTCATCTGCCTTGATACTGTGACCTCTGCCCTTGCAGAGATGCCAGGGAGAAAGGCCAACAAGACCCACAGGATGGGGCGGTGCAAACATGTGCCCACACAACCTAATTGGAACAGAAGCTTCTGGAAGCTTCTCAGCACCTCATAGCCAGTCTGACAGTCTGATTAGCACACTGCCTAGAGTGTGGTAGGTACCCTGAGAATCTCTACTGAATCCAGTTTCCATAAAATAAATTACAGAAAGCTAAGATTTGTGCCAAGATGAAGGCACTAGCTAAGGTTCCCTCCTATCGCTGATTCTATTTCCTCTGGGTCCTGGAACCAGTTTGCTTGGGTTCGAACAACTGAGTTCCTCATTCCAACTTTATGCCCTCATGAAGGCCACTCAACTTGCCTTAACCCACAGTGTCTGCCACTTTAAAGTGGAATTAATAACAGTGCCAAGTTTGGGTAGGGTCATTGCAATAATTAAGTGAGATAATGCATATAAATCACAGCGGAGGGCTGGCACATAGTTAGGACCTAGTATACTTCAGCTATTATTAAAGATTCTTGATTTATATATCCAGCTCCTAAACCATGTTTTTATATACGCATATATTCAAACACATACACACACAAAAACATAACCCAAAATAAAAGTATTAAAAATGATTCCCTTGGCTACAATTATTGCTAGGATTATGTACTGCTGAAAGCTTATCTCAACATAATAATAACAATAATGAACAAATGGTTTTTATGTCCAGCAAAGCCACCTCAGCCAAGATACAAGCTGAATAACAAGGGATTTGCCTAGTGCTTGCTCATTCATAAATAGGAAATATGACAGAGGAGGCTGCATTGTGATCAAAATTAAGTAAATTTCACTCACAATTCCAAATCTTATAAAATAGGGAAAAATTTAAAAGGCATATTACATCATTTCTCCATTTTCATAACTGATTTATCCAACCAAGAAATAATTACAGAATGCCTGCCATGTTCCAAGCTATGTAAAAGTGTATGTGTCTGTGTGTGTGTATAAAATGGTAGATTAGCAGAGTTAAAATAGTTGGCAATCCTGGAAACAATTTAAATGTGCTCAATTTCAAGACTTAGTGTATATGTAAAAGAAATTTTAAGAATTAATCACCCTCTGAACACACACAACACCCCCCCCCCCACAATTTATCATGTCCAAGGACAGCTAATCCTAGCCAGAATAATAGCACAATTCACAAAAATAGCAGGTCAAGCCCCGACTTGTAACCAGATATGTTGGAAAGAAAGTTAACTATGACATGGTAAGACTCTAAAACCAAAAATATATATATATATAAAAATAAATAAATCAATGAATCTTCAGTTACATTCCAGTGAGGAAGCCAAACAGAGGAGAAGAGTGGCCACTTATTCAAGGAAGAGGCGGGGAAGATAGGCTACCTCGGCTCATTGCCCTGGCCCTTACGGAAGACACTAGGGAGTCTCCCTTGAACCTGAAGGCAGGTGGTGGGAGATCAGATAGTGGTAAATGAGCAGGACATTCCAGGCCTGGTGGGTAATGTAGACGTTGATAAGTCACAGGAAGAACTCTAGGTTAGAAACTGGGTGTCGTGGACAAAATGCTTAACCTGTCACTAGCAACAAGCCACGGTGCTGGAGGTCCCTCTGAGTGGCCAACCTGAGCCTCCTTCATAAAGGTATTGGCTATAAAGTTAGCATAGATTTGTTAAACAAATCCCAGCACATCGCAAACTGCAGAAAGCATGCCTCAAGTGAAACAAATTAAGTGCAAACTTAAAAAAAAAATCATTACCCCGAAGATGTGGGCTAAAAACATAAACAGATTTCCAAAATTTTAGATCTACTCAGAGATAACATATCCAGTATGGGAGTTAGGCCTTCAGAGGCAATGACTTGGGTCCCTGGGTGAGGCTCTTTGAAAGGGACGCTGCTGAAGGATATGGCTAAGAGAGTGCTCCCCCATATTTCCTGGTGCCTTTGTTGTGACTGCTCCACCAGTAGCCCTATCTCTTTTGAGCTTTCACACCTTCACTTGCAGTCCTGGCTTTAACGGCCTGGAGGTTAGTCGTGTGCCTGTGATATAGCATCCCTGTTTCAGTCTCCTTCCTCTTCCTTCTTCTTTCAGGAGGGACTGAACACAGTACCTGCTGCAGAACCAAGAAAAAGACACTGCACCTGCCCCAGGCAAGGGGGAGGTGAGCTCACACCCCACCTGTGGCTTCCAGAACCGCTAAGTATGCTCAGGGGATCAAGTGTTGTCAAGCCCCGTCCGATCCCCTTCCCCCCAATAGGACTGCCTGTCCCCGTGGAAGTGCTGATGGATTCTCTGAGTAGGACATGGGGGACCCCAGGGAAGGAAGCAATTTCTGTAAACAATAATCCATTTAAAAATGTCCTTTTTCATCTGCCCCCAAATAAAAACAAGGGAAGGCTTTGCACCCCTGGAATGGGAGAGAATATGTACAACTTTCCAAGGAGAATGTCACTGTGGCGTTTGTGATGAACTAAAGGAGACAGAAGAGAACCTGAGGGCAAGTGCAGAGATGACGCTGCAGAAGGGGGATGGGGGCAAGGCGCTTAAGGCCGTCCTATTGTTAACGAGAGAAATAGGTGACTGGAGGCCTCGCTATTTCCAGGTCATGCGCTTAGCGAATTCCAACACAAAAACCACGTGAATGTCACAGGGTCAAATGCAGAGAGCTACCCCCAAACCCAGAGGTCTGGCCCTGGACAGAAGCAACACAGAAACATAACCCCGGGAGGGAAATGTGTTTTCAGTTACACCAGGGCCGGGCCGGCCTCTCCCACAGGCTCTTCCTAAATAGGAACTTGGCAGTGGGCTGAGTTGGGCTGGAGGGTCGTCCTCCGCACAGAGGTAAGGCCCTCGGGGTCTCACGGGAAGCTGGACAGAAGTTCCTTCTCCCCGCTGGTAACAGCCCCGCAGAATCAGCGTCACATCCACTTTACTCATGTTCCTGACAGGTGGCTCTAGTTTCACGCCGGCACCGCAAAATCAAAACATACGCATGTCAATGGCCCGTGTGCAGCGGGGTCCAGCCAAGGCCGGGTTACATCAGCACCAGGGAGCGGAGGCCAGGCCTTCGGGCCTCAAGCCTGGGCCTGTGGGAAACTCCCTACAGAAGAAACCACCAGAGCTGGATGGACAAGCCAGAGGAGCTCTCCTGGTGACAGTCCTGGGCCTGGGCTCCTGGTGCTGAATGGAAGAGCCTGGGAGACACCAGCTTACACCTGGCGGGGGCTTGCCACACAGACTGCCCTGCCGCCGCCATTTTGCCGCATTCTGCTTCCTCCAGGCAGTGGACTAGCAGCCTGGACTGAAGGAGCCACTTAAAGGAATGCGATGTCCTTGCTTGTGAGCTGGGTCTGAGCCAGGACATCAGTGAAGTGCAGGTCTTTGGGCATGTAGAGGCTAGAAGAATTTCTTTAATCAAGGCAGCCATGGCTAAAGTGATTGAAGGGACTCCAAAGCAATTTGTTCTTATCCATAGAGGAATATATTAACTATAAAGTGGCTAAATAAAGTCAGTGAGGTAGGAACAGCAGGTACGGGCCTAAGAAAATATCCTGTTCTAAGTCAAACAACCCGTGGAGGCCGGAGATGAGAACTGATACAGAGTTTTAGTCCAACACCTGCATCCCCATCCTCCCCGCCCATCCCTCTCACTGCATCCAGGTCCCCCTCCTCAACTCCACCCAGACCTTATCTCTGGTAGTGGGTGTGGCAACAATGGCAGCGAAGGCTGGAGGGCTCACTCCTCTGATTTCAGAGCTTTTGGCCCCCTTTGTGGGACCTCCTGGTGACTCACTAACTTCCCGTCTCAACCACTGCCAACTCAGGAAGGTGAATGTGAAGAAATGAGTAACAGGCAGGGCAATGTAAGCCCAGATCTTGAGCTAACCGGCACCAATGCCAAATCAGAGAGACCCAAACTAGACAAGCTTCACTGCACCGGTCGGCCACCTTGCCTGTAGAGGCTGAGAACAATCCAAGGATAAGGACTGGCGTTCTCATTCTCCTGAGCTCCAAGGACCCTCTAAGTAGGAGCCTGGAACCTCAACCAATGTCCCGGACACATGCCTGGCCTGGCCGGAGAGGAGAGAGGCAGGTCCAGCAGGCAGGGGCCACGAGAGGGCTACCCAGGGAGCTCTGTGGCATGAACGGCTGACAAGGAGATGAGCATGCCCAGACCGCCTAGCTCACGGCGGAAAGGGCACCACTGCTGAGGACTCAGTTCATCGTTTCACTCGCCATTCAAATAACCGTGGCATGTCAGCCCCGCTGGCCTCCTTGATTGTGCAGAAATAAATAAATGAATTATGTTGTTGGGGTTTGGGCTTCAGCACAAACACATGGTCTACATTTATCCGCACAGTGAGAGGTCCACCAGCCACTTGATGTAAAAGAGGAAAATGATAATTCTTTTCTTTAGGCGCTCTGGTGCCATATGGAATGTATATAAATCATATTTTTGTTTTAACAGCGGAGGCTTTGTTGATAGATAAACATGTGGTTTATCTAAAAAAAGAGAGGATTGCGCTTTGAACAATCATTTAATGGCCGTGGATGTGCCAAATAAAAATAAAAACATAATTCTGAAAGAAGTTGGCCTCTTGCCCAAATCCGTAACAAGGAATTTCTCCTCAACCAAAGTGGTTGAGGCCCGTCGATCTGGTTTGAGTTTAAGCTGTGCTCTCTACTCAACCCCACGACAAATTGAATCCGGGGCTAATGTGCTCTAATAGGACAAGGCGTTACCTTTATGAATGACCTCATGGAGAAGAGGTTGGCGAGCATGGTGGACAGGCCCTGGGCCAGGCAGCTCTGGGCTATGAACCCCAGCTTCAGCTCGGCGAGGCAGATTGCATCATCACCCTCTTTCCAGTTCCAGCTCGGGATGTTTAGCAGATGGGCCTGTGGAAAGGAAACAGTTATGAGACCTTCCTTTGTGAAACGTTCAATTGTTTCAAGTCTCCTCTGGGAAACGCAGCACTGCCTAGCTGCAGGGTGATCCAGGCCCGTCCTTTCTTCCCTGGGCCTGGGTCGGGTGCTTGGTGTTTTACTAAAATCTCCTCATTAGACTCCAGTCTCCCTGGAAATTGCTTCTGTACCTACCAAGCCAGAGGCCTCCCCTAGGGTTTGTCCTTTAGCCAAATCGAGTCCAGAGGCAAATCCCTCTTGTGACATAGGCCCATGCTACTAGGATGTCTGACTACGTTGCTCATACACTGGCTCCTCAAATAGACTCTGATACTATCCAATGCCTGTGTACTTCAGATTTCATTTTATCTGCCTTCCCAATACTCCAGATCAGTGGCTCCCAAGCTTGAGTGGGCATCAGAACCACTTGGAGGGTTTGAACAAGCACGTTGCTGGCCCCTTCCCCACTGTTCCCGATCCCCTGTGTAGGGTGAGGCTGGAGAATCTGCATTGCTAAAAGGGCCAGGTGACGCAAGCTGCTGAGCTGGGGACCACACTTTGAGAAGCACTGCCATAAATCACCAGGCAAATCACAGCGTGCACATGTCACCATCTGTTGCAGGTGGACAGATCCTCTTCAACAGTTAGGTCAGCACTGAGATCAGGGCCCAGAGCACGCTCAGCCAGTTCTGTTTAAGCGGCATGAAGCACAGTCATAGGTGACACACTGGTTGGAAGAATCAGGATTCAAAAGTTCTCCAGAGTTGGAAAAAGGGGCGGGGGGGGGGGGGGTGTCAACCAGAAAAGATTTTAAAGGCCTTCATGTCAAGTACAGCATTTAGGTTGAGAAAAATCAATTCTATAAGTTCAAAATGAGAAGACCTAACTTGGCAGCAGACATGAGGGAACAGAAAAGAAAAAACTTAAGTGTGTGGGCAACTAAACCCCAAAGAGAGGCCAACTGTGTGAGAAATCGCAGAGAACGCCAACGCCTGCTTGTTAGAAATGGTCTCCAGGCCGAGGGAAACGAAGGTTCCATTCTGATGTGAAAGGGTCAGGCTGGTTCCAGAAAACCTGATCCAGCCTAACCGTCCGATTAAGGAGGGAAGCTGACCACTTGCATCACTTGCAGAGAAAACGTGACAAGCACGAGGAGAGGTGTCGGTTCTGGACAACCCCTTTGAAGCACAACGGAGAGAGGCAGCAACGTGGGGCCTGAAGAAGCTCTCGCCATCGCGGAGGTGCTGCTGTCATGGAGACATTAGGCTTGTCTTGTTTTGTTCCAGGAGCCAGAATTGGGACTGCAAGCAGTCATGTTGGCTTGTTTTATAAAGGAACTTTCTGAGGATGCAATTTGTCTAAGAGATGGAGAAGGCTGCCTCCACTGCAGGGTATCTGTCCCTAAAACTCAGTAAGTGTCCAAGTCTCAGCAGAAAGACCTCTTGCTTTGCAAGGAGAGAACCCCTAGGTCTTCCAATGCCAGACTCCATGGCCCTGAAATGACGATTTCTCCCCCAACAGGAGGAGCACCAACAAGGCTTCCATTCACTCTCGGGACAACATAGGCAGCTGTATTAGAAGGAGATAGAAGACTCCGTCGTGGAAACAAAGGGTGGGCCCTCAGGCTCCAGGCTCTGCTTTCAGAAACACCACTCTTATGAAATGCCTTCTTGCAAAATCCAGTTCTATGGCAATCGAGTGCATCCTAACCCAGCGGGAGTCTATTCCTGGGAGAGATGACTGTATCCGTCCTGATGACAGCACTTTTAAGACAGCCCCGCGTGTGGGCCACAGAGGATGGCAATTTCCCTCAGGCTGAGTATCAGAGACTGTCCACACATCGTAACCTCGATCCAGAACTAGCCCTGCCTTTTATCCCATTTCTCTCCCTACTCTTCACTGTCCAAAGAAGGCCACCTTCCCCTCTACTTCCCTGGCATCATAGAGAATAACATAACAGTCTAAGAGAAAAAATATTAATTTGCATTAATAGCACCTGAAAAGAATGAGGAAAATCAAAGCTAAGTCATGAACAATCAAGTCATCAAGCCCCAGACAGACACTAGATAACCTTCATGGCACCCTCAAACAAACACACAGAATGTTTTCAAGAGGGTCTCTCACATCCCCAAGTGCCATCCAGGGTATGAAGTCCGGGCCTGGGGTCCCCCATGTGCCCATCTGGTTTGAGTTCCTTAGACATAGTTTCCATGTTTACAGAGGAAAGGCATGAGTCTCATTTCTCGGGCTTCCTTTCTTGGCCCCAGTATCTTCTGCAATCGCAGGGCAGGGAGCCACAAGGGATGTGCCAAAGCCTGGGACCAGGGATTTCTGTGTGCATGAAGCAAAGACAGGAGATTGACCCAGGAATTCGAATTCTTGGTGTCTGGCCACTCTGTCCTTTTTCATTTGAGGGCAGCGGGGCCCGGTGGAAAGGCCAGCATTGCTGCATGGGAGCCCAGAGGCAAATCCTTCCAACCTAGAGAAGTAGACCTGCTGGGCAGGGTCTGTACTGGGCCACTCATCATCTCAAGAAGAAGGAACGTAAGACAGTTCATCCTGGGAAACCAGGAGAGATGAATCCCAGCCCCAGTCCCATCTCTCACTGCACATAAAATAAAACTGGAGAAGCCGCCATGAGGAGCAAAGAGGTCACATCAGAGGAAACACTGTGTCATGACTGCCCAAGTGTAAGGGTTTACAGGAGGAAGCTCAAAGAACTGCATGTCCATCGGGTCAGCAGGACTCGGCTTCAAGTTCAGAAAAGAACCCTTTCACTACAGTCTGCTGGGGGAGGAAATCCAGTAAGAGCTAGCTCATCAGGAGTAACACCTTTCCAAGATGTCATAAACCATTCTTTCCTTGAAGAGGCTCAAGCCACTGACACCCGAATTAGAACATTTCCTGGGCCACAGTCTTTCCATGTTCAGAGATGGCTAGGCTGTGAGTGTTTCCCTCCATGGATTCTAGTGATATTAAACAGACCCACTTTAGAGAATATCAATCCTTCTATGAGTCCTACTCTACAGAGCCACAGTTTGGTTCTGTGGGCTGTGGCTCTGTGTAAAGAGAAGGTGGTAGTTGGCAGCTCTGTCCCTTAGCTCACTAGCTGCCAAGTGACCATTATTTGTACCCTGCAGAGCAGCTCGGAGTCAGAGCCTGAGGCCCAGTCTGAAGTCACACTGAATGCTGAAATGCACAGATGGTCAGATGAGGACTCAATGACAGAATGGATGTCAAAGCTCTTGTAAAACCATTAAATATAACACAAATGTCTGAGATTATTATGATAACAAACTCAGGGGCAGGTTTACATGGAGAAAAAGCAGGCAGTCTCCCTATGTCCCTCTAGGTCCTAGAATACCAGTATCATTTCATCACAGGGGATGGAGAGCCTTTATATTTTATGCATGGCATCCAATTATGGAATTAACTATCCCTTGCAATATATTGACAGTGACATAAGTTTATACACACATACCAGGCTCTTTCTGAAAGCAAGTGTTCATGGGTGGAGATCTCTGGTGAAGAGAAAGTGCCGAAAGAAGAAGAAGAAGAATATTGAATAGAAAGTGGAGAAAAACATGTTGAAAGGGTAGGTAGGAGGACCTTAGGAAACAGAGCAAAATTATAAAGCAAGGGGAAGAATGCTTGCAATTCTGCAAGGAATAAGATAACTAATAATGAACACTGGTCTTTCTATTCTTTCTCTGGAAGAGAGAAAGGCAATGAGAGAGGAAAGGCCCTGTGTCCAGTCGCTCCGTCCCTGGAAACTTTACTGATCTTCCAGGGCAGAATCTCATAGTGATGTTTGCCTAACTCTAAACCCACACAGGCTGGGGTGGCGCGAATAAAGTGTGTTTTAAGCAAATAATCACGGATCAGCTGACACCTTCACTGTTGTTCCTGAAGAGCCACAGTGCAGAGTCTGTGGGAGACCCTGAGCTCACCGTGTCCATGTGAACACTGACCAGGTGCCATCTGGACCCTGGGTCTATGGAGCCACTTGGAGTTTGACAGGAATCACAGCTGAAATCCTCCTTAATGTCTTGAAGATGCTGTATCAGCACTCATTGGAAGCAGAAGGGAAGGAACTGACATCCCTTTGTAAACATACAACATTAATTTTCCTATTCAATCTGAATTCAGCCCAAAATCTAAACAACGGCTTCAAGCACTCCCACACTAAATACAGTTTCAAATCTCAAATGGAAAAAGGAGAGTTTGTTACCCCAGAAGCTGTCACCAGCTACAGCCTTGCTAAGAAAATCCACCTCCACCTACAGGGGCTACTGTCAAAAAACGTCTCTAAATTGATGCTTGCGGGTTACCAATATCCTCACTGTGTCTCTTCAGTGTCCTTGGGTTTTCCAGGGACAAACAGGACACTGTGACCTTGGATGCCCACCACCAAGCCCTCTGGCTGCAGCACAACACTTTCTGCAGTGGAACCACCTGTCGAGGGTCGGGCAACGGTTGGCAGGGGCAGCAGCGCCAAGGGTAGCCAGTCACCGACAGCAGGCCACACTCAGCGACAGCCTCTGATGGGCTTCCACACAGCAAAATGGGGCAGCCCGTGCCAGCAATTAAGAAATAATGGCGTGGCACCGGTGCATTTGGCAGAGCGGGGTCTTCTCTGGGTCACCTGACTGCCTATTTTGTAGGGAATATGGTCACACACTCACTCAAAACCCAGCAGGGAGTTATTCTGTTCACACAGGACACCTGGTTCCAGGTACTGCCCAGCCTCGTTTCTCAGCCTCATTAAGGGGATAACTGGTTCCATATCAAACAGACAAAGGTGCCACCTTCCCTCCCTCAAAGCTGTTTTCCTGGGAGTTTAATGACCATTCACGTGGAGGAGCATTGCCTTTGAATGCCACTGGGCTCTGGGAAACATCGCAGACTCCAGCATTCGTTTTCTTCCCCATCCCCCTGTGAGCTCTAACACTAGGAAGATTCCATTATGTTTACTCTAATTTGCCTGAATTCAACCATGCAATTCTCATCTTGAATTTGAGAATGCCATGTCCCACATTCCCCACCCAACGCGTGTTCTGTTCCCCCAGGTTCACCTGGTGTCAGAAGAGCCCTATTTGGGACACTCTCTATACCTTGAGGACTAAATCCTCGAGTGCACAAAACAGGCCGTCTCTTTTGCTATACCTCCATGGGGTTAGGGGTCAGGCAGAATGCTGACCGTCTCGTAGGTGTTCAGTAAACACAAACTGAGGAAATTAGTAAAGCACATAAAAATGGAAGTGTTGCAATGGGATCTGAGTGCAGCAATAGTCTGAACCTGGGGGTCCCACGGGTGCTTCTTGAATGAATGAATCGGCACCTGAAGGAGATTCCTCCCAGCGGCCAACTGCAGACAAGGTGTTTGGACTGAAGCAATGTCCCAAGGAGGGTTTACCCACCACCCACTTCGTTCAGGCTTGTGGATTGCTTTGTTTTGTGTGCATGTGTGTGTGTGCATGAGTGTGTGCGTGTGTGTGCAAGTGTGTGTGCATGCGTATGCACATGTGTTTGGCTGAACGGCAAGGGAGAAGAGACTAGACCCCCATATGCATCTCTGAGCCTCAGTCGGCTCTCACTTCCTACCTTGTTGTGATACTGCAGCATCTGAGTGATGATTCTTATCTTCGGGTGGTAGTTCTTTATGGAGATGACTCTGAAAAAGAAAACGCGAAAGCTGAGGCAGGGTTTACCTTAACTTCAGAGTCTGATGGGAAGATTCATTTGATTAATTAGTCACAACCCAATGGAGTGACTGTGGGGCCAGCATCCAGGGCCATCCTGAGGGGTTGCAGGCATGGGGCCAAGTTAGATTGTGTTTCCACTACCATATTCGTGGTAGTGTGAAAAAGAAACCAAAAGAAACCACAAAACGGCCACAGAAGTGTCCTGGGCATAAAAGAAGAGAGAGGCCTGTGGTATGTGAGTATGTGTGTCCTGGGGGTAGGGGGTTCTGGGGCCAGGGTCAAGGTGTGTTGCCTATATAGGCATCTGAAGAAAGCAAACTCAATTTATGGGGCCAAAGGAGGTTTTAAATCTCATACCCTGGGGAACAGCCTAGAAACAATTTGCTGTGGATCCAATTCTCCAAGTAATAATTTGAGGCAACAGTGACAGATCAAACAAGCAACCCAACAAATGATTCTAATTGCCACACACATGGCCACTCACAAAAATGATTTCTAAGTTGGGCTCCCAGGATGGGATTCTTGACTTAACCTTCAATGGCAAATAGCATCTAAATGATCACTTTGACCTGATTAGAATAAGGCAGGGGTCCTCAAACTTTTTAAACAGGGGGCCAGTTCACTGTCCCTCAGACCGTTGGAGGGCCGGACTATAGTTTAAAAAAAAAACAACTATGAACAAATTCCTATGCACACTGCACATATCTTATTTTGAAGTAAAAAAACAAAACGGGAACAAATACAATATTTGTATTTGCATGTGGCCCACGGGCCGTAGTTTGAGGAGCCCTGGAATAAGGGGTAAGGGCTTTTGGAGTTCTAGTACAAAATCCCTCCAAACTGCCCTCAGTCCATACTCAGTATTAGCCCCTGCCTGGGCCTCCTCATGACCCCCCTGACAATTATGTGCTAACAGGGGAGGGGCAGAGGAATATAAACACCTGGACTCCAGTCCCAGCTAGTGCCCTGGCGAACTGGTGACCTTCAGGAAATCCCTGGTCTCTCTGTAACCGTTTCCTCATCTGGACATCGAGGGCAACAGTACCTGCTTTATTTATTTCACAGGCTTGGTCTGAGCAGCAAAATGAAAGACCAGATGTGAAAATGCTTTGAAATCATTAAAAGCTCTCTCCACGTGCAAGTTATGGTTTTTGTCATTACGGACTCTGTCAGAGGTGACACTGTACATTTCCTTCTGTGACAGGGAAGGCTCAAGAATGGAATTCCACGGAATGGCCCACCGCCTGAGCCTAATCAGAAATGCAAGTGCATTTATGGTGACACCCCCCACAAACTTCCCACCCAGAAACCCTGCCCTTTATCCCTGTGTCGTGCAAAGATGGAGAGAGGCGGCCAGGAGCAGCTGTGTCTGAAAAGCTCCAACTTGTGCACTTAGGAAACGGATCACACGTCAGCCTCTCCTGCACAAGTTTACCCTGGGCTTCTGCACTTGAAGGATTTCATTTTATTTTTGAAAAAGTCTTGTGTTGGCCCAAGCTTATAACTCAAGGACTTGGCGCCTCTGTCAGCCCTCTGAATTCAGTTCACAGCCTCGGCCAGTTTTCTGCATTAGCTCATTTCAAATGGATCTTTGACATTTTAATTTCAAACGGGGCAGATTGGTCTCATTAAATTAAGGAGGAAGGAGGATTATACAAATAAGGGAAAGACAGAGCCCATTTTTAACCCCGAGCCTCCCATTTCCTTGTGCTGCCTGGGCCTTAGTTCTGATTCTGGCTAATGGACGGCTCAGTTACATTTCTGATACTACCGTTGCCCAGTAATCTCTATGCCTTGGAATCATGCCCATCGCCCCGGTAACCTATATGTCTTCACATTAACACTATCACAGTCAGGGCTTTTATGAGATATTGTGATGAAGAAAAATGTCCATTTCAAAGCTATTATCATTTCAATTAGTCACTTTTGAAGGCAAAAATATAATAATAATAAAGGTAGTGCTAGCCTCAAACTTGTCTGTGGGGTCAACGCATTAAATTTCATCTTCTTTTGATACTTTGGATGAAATTTTGAAGATAACAAAGCCTAGTTCCTTAAAGTCTACATCTGTATCACTTCATATGATGCAAAAACATGGTGAAGGAGTGAAATCCCAGTTCAAGGAAAGGGCAGCCTGAGCCACCTTAACCGAGGCTGCTGTAGTCACTCTCCAGCTGTGACCAGTGAGGGGATGGACCCAGGTGTGGGAGCACGTCCTCACCCCACCATCTCCTGCAGCCTGGCAAGCCCGATGCTTACAAGACCTCACGCTTCAACTTCCTTAAAACAACTGCACTCGTCATATTGCCAAAGAAAAGCGAGTGGAAAGGGAACATTGCTCCAGATGTTGCTTGCCAGGCACTAGGACCAGATGCTGAGGGGAGGCCTTTCTCATCCGAAAAGCATGGAGGAATTCCCCCACCTCACCGATGGGAAAGCACGTGTCACTTGGGGCCGCTGATTAAAGGCACAGAAAGGAGGTTCCAGTCTTGTGATGATGCAAAGGCAACTTCCCAAGCCTCCATGTTGGGGCAGTCAGGGCAAATTCCCAGGACACAGTAAACCAAGCTGCAGGGAGAAGGGAATCTTTGTCTCAACCCAGAAGATGGCTGTTCACAATTAGGTAAGAGTTCCTGGGAATACAGCGGGAGTGACATGTTTTCTCTTAGGTCATCTCTTCTCCAGAAGGTTCTCTTTACCCTTCCAAGCTGTCTTAACTACTCTGCAGTTTATGCTACAGGAGGTAAGATTTCAAAAGGGCTCTAATTATCTGGAGCAACATACCTTAACCTTTTAGGCATCTCATAGCCACAATATGTCTGGATATGGGTCTATGCAAAGAACAAAAACAGAACAACAGTTTTCTTCTGAAACAGTAAGGAGTAGGAGTTGGGCAGAAAATGGCCTCTCACAGGCTCAGCCCGTTTGCAGGAAGGGTCCTGGGAAGTGTTCTCCAAAGAGTGGCCCCCCGAAATGTTCTGTAAAAATGGGGGAGGGGCCTTGTAGTCAAATAGGTTTGAGAAATTCTCTAGAGCACATTATTTTTATCATTCATATTAGTATTAAAAGCACTGAGAAAGTTTTCAGTAAACAACACTATTTGTGTTGTAACCCAGGGAGATGGGTTGCAACAAAATAATTGGAGAACAAACTCCTTTTTGGGGGGGAAATGAAGCCATGTGCTATAGACACACTTGGAAAGCTCTAAGATGGGGCTTCATCCCAGGCACTATTGAAATTTGGAGCCAGACCAATTCTCTCCTGTGTGCAGCTGGCCTTTGTTTTATAGAATGTTGGGCAGCATTACTGGTCTCTACCCACCAGACATGAGCAGGACGACAACCCTAGTTATGACAACTAAGAACATCTCCAGATGTTTCAAAGGTCCCGAGACAAGACCACATCCCCGGACCATTTAGGCATCTCAGGTCCATTCCCTCTTAGGAAACATGGCACCTTACTTCAGGTCATTCCCATCTAAATTTACCTTTCCTTTTGGTCCTGTCTAAAGGATCTCAAACGCAAGACCCAGAACTCCCATCTTCTCGGGACGAACTTCCTATGGACTATGCTTTATGTCACCGCCCTCCACACCCAGCACAGCCTCAGCTCCCCCCACCCACCAGGCCTATGCAGGTAGTTTATGGACGAGATGATGTAGAGGACCCAAAGGGGAGCAAGTGGGCCACAGAGCCCAGAGCCTTCGCCCCACCCCCCAGAGGTTACCTCATGATGTTGGAGGCATCTTCAGCGTCGGGGTCTGCGCAGTACTTATTGGCAAGGATGAGGCACGCATCTGCTGACTCTATCTAAGACACCGAAAGGAAAACCACAGACACAAACACATAAATAGCCAGGCTTGGTGGCAGGCTCTCACTGTTTATAGCTCTTGGGGAACCTGGTGCTTTGCAAGGAATTTTTTTAAAAGAATCCTGAGAGATTATAGTTTGTGTCAAAAGTGTAGGTTGCTAAGTCTTGTTATGATATAAACAATTCATCTTGTTGCTGTTGGAAGGAACAGCATGTACCTTAGTAATTATACTGTTCATTTTGCATAGTCGTATGTGTGAGCTTCTCATATTTCTTTAAAGAATAATAATCTAAGTTGTTTAGTAGCCCCACCACCACCCCACCTCCTTTCCCCACCACCATCCTAATTTTTCCAGGTGGGAAATGGAGTTAGGTGGGCTAACCCCATCCACTCAGGTTACTAAGATAACTGAGGAGTTGGAGATTCAGTCATTTAGACTCCAACGTTCTTCCTCTAACCCTTTTCACATCTTATCTGGCAAACAAAAGGAAATGAGAGTCCTGAATCAGTGCTGTTCAGTATCCAATTAGCATTCAGAAATTCAAAAGACAACACATCTGTATGTATGAAGTGATGTATTACAGAAGATCTCAAACTATAACTTACTAACTTATCTGAACATGAGCCCCAAATAGTTTATTCCTTTGAGGGGTTCGTGAGTAGTGCTAATAATTGCCTACATCGAAATCAGGTCCAAAAACAATAACCATGTTCTCAAAGTTCTCATGAGCTTCCACATTAGCCATAACTTGAACCATATCTGGGGAAAATTAAGATGAACTGGACTCCGTAAGAATTCTTATGCTGGCGCAGGCCTGCAGCCTGTCCCACTTGACATGTTGTACTTAGCAGACCCTTCTGCATTTGGAGGGAAGGCTGGTCTCCGCCATCATATGTCACAGTATCTCTGGTTTTCTTTAATAGTCCAGAGAATTTACTCAAGTCCTTCTGGCTTATTCATGTTTGCCCACTACATGGTTACTGAATGGTGTGGTGACTGCAGTTAGCATTAAGATGTCAGTGGCTTCACAATTTCAATATACACTTAGTGTTGTGCAAACACTGAGCATGCTTACAAAATCGGTATGCAATGAGTAGAGTGGCAGAGGCCATTTTGCTGTACCCTATCCCCTTATAAGCCTCAGAAGGGCTTTCTAAGAAGATTCTACCTTAGCAGGTGCTGGAAAGAAAAATCAGCCCATTATAAAGTGGTATCAGATACCTATATGTTTAGTTCCACACCTTAGTCTTTTGGTGGGGGAAGGAAGGAAGCTCAAAATGTTTCATGGCTTGGTAACAATTTTATTTTAGACTAGAGGCCTGGTGAACGAAATTTGTGTACTCAGGGTGGTCCCTCAGGCCGGCCTGAGCCCTCTTGCAGTCCAGAAGTCCTTGGGGGATATCCTACTGACGGCTTAGGTCTGTTCCCCACAGGGGAGCGAGACTAAGCCACAGTCGGGCATCCTGAGTGCTGCCACCGCCACCATGCTCAGCAGTGGTGAGCCCAGCTTCTCGCTGAGTGGCGTTCCCCCTGTGGGAGTGCAATGACCACCAGGAGGCAGCTTCTGTGTTTAGCGTCTGCCCCCTGGTGGTCAGTGCATGACATAGCGACCGGCCGTCCCTTTGTTCAGTCTATTTGCATATTAGCCTTTTATTATATAGGATTTTACCCTTAATGTTCCTTTCTGATATAAATAGTAGATTTCAGAGCTACAGTGAGTCCTATTTAAATATTCAAGATGGGAACAGCTTGATTATTATGTTGTATGGGAGACTATTGAGTCCACACAACTAGTCTGCTTCCTTTAGCAGCACTGATACTGAGGGAACTAGCAATGGAAGTTCCATGCTCCAAGTAGTTCAAGTATGGAATGCTCACAGGTGGTCTAGCAGGTGCCAGCAAAACCAAGCCCTGGGACCTATGCAAGGGTGATGCCAACTAAGGTGGTGGTATCTGACTTCTTTCATTAGGGGTTGCAGGGTGACTTTAAGCCATCCTGGGAGGCATGTCCCCTCACCACTGAGTCAAGTGACCCCCACTTAGGTGGAGGAAAAGCAGAGGTTGCTCCTTCCTGCTTACCTTGACTCTTGCAAGATCATGTGGATTGAGGACTGAACCCTGATAAAATTCCACCTGAGTAAAATGTCGTTTGAATAGAGCTTCCAGCTCCAGGTTGGGAGAAATGCTGTGCAGGGAGAGAAGAAACAGCCATTAATATGACAGACACAGGTATTGCAGCCTCCAGGCCCCCTTCTCTTGACTTCCACAGAGGGGGATCTGGGAAAGGGCTTTCTCCTTCAAAGCAGCTCCCAAGTTTATCATAAATAAAGGCTTGCACTCAAGAGAGATAAAACCTACCTGAACCAAACTGAATACCAAGGTAAAATAAACAGGCCCAGACTTTTACTGAGTCCGAGGCATATGGGGTGAAATGTCTTCGACTTCATTATACATGGAATCCCTATTTTATAAATAGAGAAACTGAGGTTGTGACATCAGGGTTAGCCAAAGGTTCCCTTGGCAGTGCTGTTCCTTCCATCAAAAGCCTTTTCCCTGCTTCTCCACCCCATGGACTCCTCATCCCCAAAAATGTCACCTCTGTGCAGCCACACCCAGAGTTCATTTACTCGCAGTACTGTTCTTGATTCACAGGGGTGTACACTATTCATCATTCTTAGGACTGAGCTGTAAGGACATCTTTCCATTGGAGGACAAAGATTAAAACACTGATTGACCTATTCATTCATTCATTCATTCATTCACTCATTCATTCATTCTGCAGAGATGAACAAACCTACTCTGTACATGGTACTATACTAGGCACTAGGAGGTCATATTTAGTTAGAGCCTACTTGGTGCCAGGGATAGTGTTAGTCAACACGAATAACATTTACTAAGTGCCTAGTCTTAATAATTTTTCATGTTTTGAGCATTTACTGCATGGCAGATGCCATTCTAAACACTTGCAAGTATTAACTCATTTAAACCTCAAAACCCTAGAGAAAGGTATTGTTATTAACACAGTTTCAAGAGGTTAATTAACTGGGCCATCTACTATGATGCTGACAAGAAACGATGCTGGGGACACAGGGGAACCCTAACACTAACACAGGGGAACCCTAAGCATTAGAAGCCAACTTGATTCCGACTGAAGCCCTGGGTGAGAGAAGAGGAGCTGCCTGTACAAATCTTTCCCATCGCCCAGATCCCGCACGATCATGCTTCATTCCTGAAGCTCCCCGGGTAATGCACGAAGCGGGGGGCACTTCCCAGGCCAGTCTGCCACCTGGTGAAACTGACTTCAGTCAGTGAAGGTAGGATCAATGTTGTGCTCTCATGTCGCACATGTGCTCATCTTGAAATGTGCAGCCAACAGGAGGGCAGACCTACACACTACACTGCTCTTGAACCTTCTAAAAGGCTCAGAGAAGACGGGCCCCACAACTGGGAATCAGCAGCTAGCTCTGAACTGTTCTGTGGGTTCTGCTCCTGGGCCCACGGCCTGGCCAGTCTTTTCAGAATTTAGAGAAGCGGGTGCTGAGAAGAAAAATACAGGCGCTCAAACCTGGTGACCACTTTGGTGTTGGTGAACAAATGCCCGAAGGAGGAAGCTGCTCAGAATGGGAGCTTGGAGGGGGATCAACCAGAGTGGGCTCTTGGCGCAGGACTGAGTGTTGAGTGGTCAACCCCATACCGAGCCAACACCGACATGTAAACTTTGTCTCTCTAGCAACTTCTGGCTAAGGCTGGCCCCTTGACGGCCCATCTCTAAAAGAAGATGGGGCAACGCATGTCAACATGCTTGAGCCCCCCAACTCTCCATCCCTGTGCAGACTACCTTTTACTTAAAGGGGATGAGACAAAGCTTAAAATCTCAACAATATTGAGCAGAAGGGAGATACCTTCCTTCCCTCCCCTGTAAATCAAATATAATAAGACATAATTTCTAAATTAATTATGTGACCTAATATATGGTATATTTCACAATAGTAGCTAACATGGATTGAGCAGCTACTGCATGCCTGATTCTGCTCTGTGTACATTACATGGATTACTTCTTTTCATTCTCACAACAGCCCAAGGATGTAGGTAGAAACCATGATGATCTCCCCGTCTTATGGATATGGAAACTGAGGCCCAGAGAGGTTCAGAAAGTAATTGGTTGATGCAAGATTCAGATCAAGTATTTGGAATCCAGAGCATGTACTTTGCTCCCTCTGTTGGTTAAAGAAGGGACTGTATGCATGGTGACCAGCGAGCACAGGGTCCCCCACTGAAGATTTCTGGGAACCACAGTTGCTGTGGCTATTAGTACCTTACACCCTGCTTCCTGTTATGTTTATGTCTTCCTTGGTCGCTATGTCACCCCTGCACTCATAAGGTATCCACCTCATACCGCTCATCATTCCACGCCTGACACTGGGGACACACATGGATCCCAGAGATCCAGGAGCTGAGGGGACAGTAATGATGTGTGTGACACATAATAAACTCCTCTGTTATTTGACAGAATGACCTTCAGAGGCAGGTGCTGCTCTCACTGAGCTAATGTGTTACTCCCTTTCCACTGGTTCAGGTCTTCCTCTCCAATGAGGCCAGCAGGGATTGTGTCTCATTCAACTCTGCCCTGCCCCCCAATGCGGCCCCCACAACACCACTCCTGCAGACACTCAGGGTGCCCCCTCTGGGTGTCTTGTTGGGTGGAGGGTCTCGAAACCACAGGGGCCTCTTACTTGTGAAGAAAGACGATCTCCACGTTGACATCGTCCCGGTCCTTGTGCAGGAAGTCCTTCAGGAAATTGGAGACACTCTCCAGAGTGATGTGTCCACAGACCACAATGTGCCTGAACGGGAGAGGCTGGTTAGATGAGGTGGCCCAGCGCGACCCAGGCACCCATGCCCAGCAAGACAGAGGAAGTGCAGCCGCAGGAAAGCATTGCCCCCGGGGGCTCCCTGAGCCCCGCTCCCCTCCCCAGAGGCTGCGAGGCAAAGCGGCAGTGCTGGCAGGTGCTCCTCGGCAGAAAAGGCATATGGCGTCTCACCTGATGCTGCACAAAATCCTATTAAAGCCCAACCATTTGGCCAAGTGGTTTTATGCATTTAACAATAAGTGACATTATGCTCATGCTTAAACGCTGCATTATCAAGTCCCTTGCAGATTCCTATCTCTCCCTTTCTGCCCACAAAGTGTCCTCCCGGGAGATTTACTGAATGAGTCTTGGTTTATGACATAGAGCTTATCAGGTAATGAGATAACAAATCTTGCTGAAACGATGATTTTGTGTGTAAGGAAGCGAACTTTTATCAGGGTGGCTAATGTGCGGCTTGACACGTTATGGGCTCTGTTGGCCATAAGCAGTAAAAAGGAAAATTTTGCATTTTTCCGCCATAACTCCTCCAACAATGGGGGCACGTAACACTTTACAGTAAGTGAGCATTACTCAGGGCTAAATGGGGACAGGACGCCTCTGGAATGGGAGATCAGCCACAGACCTGTGTCCCCAGGCAGCTGCTTCCTTGGGGCGCCGCGGATGTCTCGGAGAGCCAAAGGAATCAGCCTCAAAATGGGGAGAAACCAGGAAGAGGGGACGCTGGCATCATCTGCCTTGTCCCAGGGGCCTTGGACTTCTGTTTCTGGAAACGGTGGCTGGCCTTGAGGAGAGGAGCCCCTCTTCCAGAACTGTGGGAACCAGAGTCCCCCCCAACATCTCGGGGCTCCTGGACCAATCTGACTTTGACACCAGGCTATCCTATGGTCACTTACAGTCACTACAAGGTGCTCGATCGATCAGGACTAAAGCACTTTGGTGCAAGAGTTAGTGCCAGTGCCGGGACTGGCTGTACAGATGAAACCCGCTGGCTTAGAGTAGAGAGGTTGTCTCAAGGGATTCAGCCCAGATCCCTGTGCGCCTCGGGCCGAGGGGGACAGAGGCTGAATCCCTGGCTGGGCCGTGAGGCATGGGCACGTGGCGAACAAGAAGCACAGTAATTCTGTGGGGAAATGTAAAATGGCCCGGCCCCTTGCACTCCATAACTGCTCTGTGCACACTGCAATAAGGCGGAAAGCGCATTGGCTGGAGGCGGCTCATAATAGGAGGCATGATGATCACTTATGCAATGTTCCATTAGATGCCATTACAAGAGCCTGCCCTTTCCTTGTAATTTGGTGCTTGACTAAGTATGTGAGAATAATGCAGTAAACTCATTGGTGAAAGGATAATGATGCAGAACAAAGAGTAAATCAATAATACGCGCGGTGCAGTTAATAATATCTCCATTATGGACTGTTATTGTTACGGAGCTGCACTTAGCGATCGGAGCCCAGAGGCCATCCGGGGAGGGAGGAGTGTCAGTGACTTCCTCAGAGGAGACGCGTGAGCAAGATCACTGTGCTCGAGCCCGGGCCTGCCGGGGTGAGGGAGGTCCCGTGACCACCCATCCAAATTCTATGCTCAAAACCCGTACAAACAGCACCTTCCTAAAATACACAGTATGCCTGCGGACATGATGTGAATGAAACACTTGGATTATATGCATTTTTATCACATCATACCTTAACATGCTTGCTGCAGCACATGTGCACATATATGGACAAAACAGGCTGCACGTGAATTTGCGTGACCTCAGTAAGATTTCTGGTTCTGAACTTGCCAAGTGTGTTCAGAAAGTGACTGAGAAACAGGACCTCCCTCCCGACCTCTCCACAAATGACAGTGGGGCAGTGTGGGGGCGATTCTGATACTTTCTGCCCACAAACTTCCTGGTGGAGAACAAGGCCAGCATGGTCCAAGGTACGGGCCCCTCCACAGGCCCGTGAAAGGAAGCCAGATTTGATTCCCTGCTCTGCCCCGAAGGACGTGTGATCCAGGACAAGCTTCTTATCCCCCTTTCAGCAGATGAGGGAACGGAGGGGTTAAAACCCCAGCCAGCTCCTGCCCCAGGCACTGCAAAGCCCACAGTTCTACACCAGCATAAACCTGGTTATTATTCAAAGCTGGACTCAAATCAACGAGAGGGCCAGAGAGATGCCGGGACATCCACCCTGCCTATCCTGCGCGCAAAGAACTGAATGAACATCTGCCAGCATCCCCGCTTCCTCTTCCAAAACCATCCATCTCCAGGACAGCGGGAGGGGAGGGGATGAGTTCACCCTCTCACCCCTGAATCAAAGGCTCAGCTCAGCCAGCTGATTTATTCAGCCTTAGGAAGAGTCAGGGTTCTCTTAGTTGAAAATGTGCTGGGTACATATAAAATATATTCCAATGCAATCAATATTATCCCTTAAGCCTTTAATTAGCTTTCACTTCTCTTAAGAAGTAAGACAAATGCTGGCAGGAGACGGAAGGAACAAAAAGGATTGACTTTTCTCATTTGGTGTGAGCTGTCCAATACCATTCTAGACGGTTTAAAATATATATCCGTTAGCTACAGCATGCCTTCTGGGGTAGAGAGCAGTCTTTATCAAAAAGGGAGGGGGAAAAAATCTTCCTTCCACATAATTGGTATTTTTGCTCAGAAAAAGCGGGATTGATTGAAAGCAGATTGCCGCCCTGCCCGCGGAGAGGCATTAGGTACATTATGGTGGCAACCTTGGAGGACCCATATTGTTCCAATCTGTCCCGTATCTGATGTGAAGATTTACCGCGTCCCTGTTTTGTGCCAATAATCATTTCCCTCTATTTTGTTTTCCATACAGTGAACGCGATCAAGGAACCCACATATTGAAAATGTTTGAATGCAGTTAGGACGGATGGATGGGGAGAAGCTGCCTCTCCAGCTCAGCATCTGCATCAGGAGGCCGGCTCCCACCAGCCCGTGGCCCAGGGAGCACGAGGGCCCTGCGGGAGTGCCCGGGATGGATGGTGAAAGGGGCAAATTTATTTCCCAGGAGTATTTTCAGGAGTTGACAATTCCAGGGGCAGTCGTCTTGGGAAGGATGTCACGGAGGGGAGAAGAGAGGCAGCATTTCCTGGTAGTTGAAAATGTAATTGAAATGCTCTAAGACTGAGAGCAGGCGTGCCATCTCTGGACACAGAATGATGGTTGTTCACAGTACACGGTTCAGAGAACGCCAAAAAAGACCCTCATCCAAGATTATCTCTGTCAGGTCTGTGACACCCACCAATCTACCGTGTGAGATTCATTTGGATAGCCCTGTGTTAGCTCAGACACCAAGGAACGGAACAGTCTGAGGTAGGGACCAATTCTGCATCTCACAATTATGAAGCCAGAATCTCTCAGGGGCTGGAGCTAGCGCCTGATTCATGAGGTTATCTTGAGGATTTATTTAAATAGAGATAATACATGTGAAGGGCCTAAGAAAAGGTCTGGCCCTGGTAAGCATTAAATGGTAAAATTCATGGGATACCTGTAAATCAGTACGTAACATATAAAAGGCTCTGTGGCCCATAGAATCTCATCTAATCCTCAAACAACCTCGTGTTCCGATTATCTGCATATTTTCAGGGAACTTCTCTGAACCTCAATCTCCTTAAGTCATGTGTCTGAGACCCCACAGCAAGTAAAAGGGACTTGCCCGGGCTGTGACCCTGTTCTCTGACCCCATTCTCGCTGAGAGGAAAGGAGTGATATGAAAAGGGCAGAGGCTTCGGTATTGCAGCTCTGCTCGCTCCTGACGGGCTGGGCTCAACCCAGAGGAGATCCTCCTGGACACACAGAGGATGGGGTGTTGGCGAGTCCTCGCTGGGCCAGGAGAGAGGCTTAGTGTGGGGCCTGGAGCGGACAGAGATAAACGCCCCTAAAGCACCACAGAGATGCAGGGTCACTGGATTCTGGCTGCACCTGGTCAGCCGGACCAGATGGCCCAAGACAGCCAAGGCTGAGAGGCACAGGAACTCTGAACCAAGTTTCAAGTTAAGCCACAATTTGGCCAGCAGGGGCTGTGATGCAGACGTCCATTTTTAGATGTTATAGGCTCAGGACTTACTCAGCCTGAGGACCCAACGGAAGACAGAAATCCTGTGGTTCACTGACAATGGAGAGTTTACCAAGGCAGCTGCCGGGACCCAGAGCTGGACATTTTTAAACTGCTGGCCATGGCAACCACTGACTTCTAGCAGGCCTGGCCCCCTGGTTTGCGAAGATGGCCAACCAACCTCACTCAGTAACCATTTTTCCTCTGATGTACTTTTTGGGTTTTAAAGTTTTGTTTAGTTCTGGGAACAAATCTTCTTTGAGATAAATTAACGTTAGTAGCTAGAATTAAAAGGTCCATCTCAGATGCAGGAGGAGGCATCTGAAATGCCAAAATAGTGGCAGATGGCATCTTGTGGAGAGCAGTTACTCATGTAGTGGCTGGCCTGGGAGAGTGTCCCCAAATGCGGGCTGGGTGAACCGGAGGCGGTAACACCAGTGGGTCACGGAGTAAGCATGGCATTGAGGGCTGGAGGGTGACTTAATCAGAATAATGTTTGACTCTGATCGCTATCAGGGCTCACCACAAAACTACCAGTTGCTTAGTTCATGGGCGCCTCTTCACTCCGTAAGTACTGCTGTCAATAACCACCTTCACCTCCCACACATTGTCCTCCATCACTCTGCTTGGAAGTGGGTCAGGAACGCCGGACGCCCAGTGCAGTTGGGAGCTCAGTTTCAGAGTTCAATGCCACTGTGCCTTTCAGAATGGATAGCTCAGGGCCACTGCCTTAGGGCTGGAGGCATAAGAGGAGAGTAGAGAGGGGGGCCACCAGACGAAGCTTCTCAAGGCTGTGGGGAACGAGGCACACAGCGCCACTGAGGGTGAGCTTCCCTCCATGAGAGGAAAAACTCTACACACTTTTCAAAAGAGTCAGGCAGTGTTGCTGAGAGCCAGCAGCCTTTGCAA